TGTTGTAGTCAGAGAGAAAGAAAGGCTTTGTACATGCACTTGTTTTTGTACTGATCTTCAAGGGAGTGTCTTTGTAAAGGAAGTCCTGAACAACATAACGAGCCTGTGTGCAAAGTGAGAAAAACATTAAGCCATTTTAACCTGTCTGAAGCCAACCAAAATTTTGTTTCCTAGAAAGGTTTGTGAACAGAGGTACATCTGCATGGGCTTTCTGTGATAAAGCATATTGATGTTCAAAAAATAACCACACATGTTTCACGCTTCTCAGTTCCTGTTTTGAAACATCTGAGCATTAGTGTGACTGACTGCATGACTGCATTGTCATACAAAGCAATATTCCATCTGATATTTCCCTTAAGTCATCATTGCATGTGGAAATTAAATAAACAGAGTTGATGAAGATGTACGTTGTAGCTACATTCAGTGTGAATTTCCTGTCCTGTTGTCACTGCCTGACAGTTTAACATTTGCAAGTAGTTTGTTTCAGTTCATCTTTTTTTTCTAGGTCTAACTCTTTCTTCAGGATTATCATCCGTGGTTTAAAATTTGTTGTGTAGTTTATTTTCATTTTCATTTCAGTAGAAAAAAGTGAGTGTAGATGATGTTTAAGAAAGAAAACTTTAAAAGCCACGCGTTTCATTCCTAATGTCTACACAAACATGTTTTGACATGTCTATAAAACTGGTTTGTCAACTTTTGAGGGCTACTGTATGTCAAGCCAAGCACAATAACACTGTCTGAGAAACAGAGCTCAACCTGCTTTCTTGAGAAGCTGACAATTTATGACACTATAAATGATTTTTTCACATTTATTTTTATATGAAATGAACACCTAAGCAAACAAAATTGTTAATATTTGCTTGCTGTCTATTTTTTTATATGTATATTGTGATATGGTATAAATATTTATCAGGGGTCATCACAGCGGAATGAACCATCAATTACTCTGGAATATGTTTTTCCAACCACATAATGTAATGCAAAAAAATAATAACTATAACACACTGTATAAGACTTATTATACATAAACATATTAATTGGCAAATACTGACTTCTTTAATGAACAGCAGGACATTGTATATACATATTTAATCAGTATTAGTTATATTATTAAACACTATTAAAACTTCTGGTTCCTGACACACTCAAACTTGCTTTCACTGGCTTGGTGAGATGGGGAACTGTTTTAATGTGACTGAAAGTCTCCAGACGAAGATCAAAAAGAGAAACATTTCAGCCACAGAAGGAGAAGCTAATAGTTCTAAAAGAAATTTCTACAATATTGCATTTTTACAAAACCATCAACTCAATTAAGTCCCTAAAAAGATTAACGCAATACAAATGCAAGAAAGGACATGATAATGCAAAGAATCCCAATGGTCAATGCAACAGCTGGAATTGATCACCAGTGCGGGGTGGGATGGGATAAGGATCTGCTCAGTGTTTGAGAATTTGGACTGAAAGCCCAGCAGAAACCAAACCTTAATAAGAAGAAATAATCAAAAGACTAAACTAATCTATGCTCAGGAGCAAAGTAGTGTGAACAGCAAAAAGCTCACTTTAGTGGTGAAAACTATTTTAAATGTTTTGTGTTTGTTCTTTGTTGGGAAATATTGTTTGACTGGGACTGACAGAATCCAAAGAATTTGCAGAAGTCAGTGAAAGGTGAATGAAGAGTCATGCTTTGGGTGATGTTTTCTACAGCAGGAGTTTGATCTGTTACATCGATACATGCCAGAGTGAATGCAATGTTTATCAGAAGTTCTTTCAGACACGTGCTCTTTTCATGGAATATTCATAAAAGATAGTGAACCCCGTCACACAGCAAAACAGGTTAAGAAATTCCATGCTGAAATCACAACGCTGATGGAAATACTGAAAAATAAAATGGCCAGCCAAGAGTCCTGATATAAACCTGATCAAAAGGCTTTTGCAACAGTGACCAAATTTGTTAGACTGAAAAAGAGCTGATAAAGATCAGATGACAGTGACAGACTAGAAATAGACTAGTGATGTCCTGTGGGCACAGATGTGCAGAAGTCATTTAAAGTATTACTAGTACTCTTTGTGCTACAATCATTGCTGTTTTTTTAATACTGATAACTATGTTTTCAACAAAATAAAGTAGTTTTGTTGACGTGCCTTGATTATTTTGTGCAACACAGTTCCTCCATCAGCTAAACAAAAATTCAACAGATTCCTTCAAATGTTGAACGTATGTATGAACAAAGATCAAATGTTTAGAAGTTGTTTTTTATTAGAATTGTTCTAATAACATGAAATGTTTAAGAAAGAACACATTGATATTATAAGACTTTGCAATACCTCTAGTCATTGGTGTTTTGCTGGCACCTGCTGGTTAAAATTGGGGGTGCATGTGCAGTACATGCATGTCGATTAAATGATAGAATCCTTCAGCTTTGACATTCGTTGTGCATTAAATCTAGCTGAATCGTCATTAAACTGACACAGACTCAAACTAAACTTTTCTATGAACTGAAAATTCCTATGAAACCTATGCAATTCCCTATGAAATTATTGCTCACCATGTAAAGCTGATTTGATTATCTGTGTTCTGTAAAGTGTTCGATAAAGCTGCCTTGGCAAAATCCACATCACACAGACAGCATGCAGGCTTGCTTACACTATGTGCAAGTATATTGTTAGTATGTGCTTTTTTAATTTATGAATGTGCAGCCTACCTGCCAGATACTTTTTATTATCTCCTTTATCACTAACCTTGAAGTATGATGTCTGTAAATGTGTACCCCATTGTAACTTCACATGCAGGGGCCGGATAAGCCATCTAGCAATTCTGGCAAATGCCGGAAGGTCTGGACAGTTTTTTGTAAATGTGGGCTAGTCAGTTTTTTATTTTATTTGTATGTTTATTTTATTTTTACATGTATTGTTTTTTACATGCAGGTAGCTTTAATCTCTTGCAAAATGTAAATATTATGATGAAGATGATGATGATGATAATAATAATAATCAAAATAATAATAATAAATGTTAAGCATTTAGCCCAATCAGTAACGGCTGGCTGGTTGTGTGATGGGCCGACCCAATCAGAGGTTACGCGGACATAATCAAAATCCGCCAACAATGTCAAACAAACAGTAAGTACAACACAAGCTAATTGTCAGAGATGGGATCAAGCTAAAATCTAAAATCAAGCTAATGCATAAAAATGCATAAAATTAACTGAAATATTTTGTGTGTATGGGTGTTTCCCAGTGATGGGTAGCAGCCGAAAGGGCATCCGCTGTGTAAAACAACTTATCCATATGCTGGATAAGTTGGTGGTTCTGTTATGGCAATCCCAGATTAATAAAGGGACTAAGCCGAAAATAAAATAAATGCATGTATAAATTTGTTAGAAAATGGGTTGTTTTTGTTCCAGTCACATACATTAAATGTTTAAATATATATATTACATTTAGTACTGCTTGTATTATTTCACTATTTGTACACTAATATAAGTAGTGGATGTCAGTGTCTGTGGGTGGAGCTGTGTCGGTGTGGTAATGTGGGCTGGTGTGGCTACAGTGCCAGGGCTGAATTTTTTGTCCCCTGTTCACATGTGTAAATATATAGTCTCAAATACCAAGTACGTATCTCTGCAGCCCAGAGACCTCCAAGTGGGAGGGATTACACTGCAAGTCGGATGGGTGACCTCCAAGTGGGAGGAACGTAAACAACAAGTAGATAGGGTTTAGGTGGTGTAGGTGGAGTATAAATAAAACACATCAGGTTACAGTAAGGTTTGGTTTAGGGTTGGGGTAGGTGTAAATGTTAATAAAACACATCAGGTTACTGTGAGGTTGAGTTTATTTGGGATAGGTGTAGACGTTAAAAAAGCACAATATTGGACTCTGACATGCACAAGACATTTGTACAGCCCACTTTGAGCTCAAGTCCCACCTACTTGGAACTGGCTCCGGCCTCCGTTTATTCCTTTCTCTCAAATATAGCAATTGTATCGGCTGTTGGGCTTGTTTATGCACTGACACACACAGTTAAATTTGATGTGTCACATTTAAAGACATGTCGCCATAATTGCTTTCTGTAGTCTGTCTGTATTAAAGCCTGCTGTGATCTGACAGAGAAGCAATGAAGGCATGAGTGCTTTTGCACCCTGGGTGTCATAGAAAAAGTATTCAGCATTTACACCAACTGCATCTCACTGAATCAAGATTGTGAAAGGTGAAGGGCAGTAAAAAAGGTGACCATTTTGCCAATGTAATGAAAGCATCTTGAAGCTAAAACTTTACTTAATAAGGATAATTTTTTAACAATAAACATGTTTACATACATTAGCACTGCAGGCAGCCAAAGCTGATGATCCAGCAGAATAGGATGCACTAAAGCAAATAATTCAGCTGCTTTACAAAAAATGTGCTCATGAGAATGAGTGCCGGTGATAAATATTTCATGGTGTAATATTTCAATTTCATGTTTAATTATAAAACACATGATGTTTGCTTTATCGTTATCACATATCACGTGTGTGTTTTGTGCAAACAGTAACAGCAGTAAGGCTGCAATATAAGTAAATGCGAACACGGGCGGACTGGGACAAAAATTCAGCCCTGGCACTGTTGCCACATGAGCCCAAATTACCACTCCGACACAGCCCCACCCACGGACACGCACATTCACTATTTATTTTGGTGTAAAGATGGTGAAATAATATGACATTTTTGCCAGATTTTGATAATCTCCGGGTAACCTTGGATTGGGTCGGCCCATCTTGAAACCAGGCAGCAGTTGCCGATTGGGCCAAATGCTTAACATTTATTATTATTATTATTTTTATTATCATCATCATAATATCACATCTAGCAAGAGATTAAAGCTGTCTGCATTTAAAAACAATACATATTTTAAAAAAAAAACGTCCGCCCCTGAATGTGGACTGAGTTTGAATGATTATCAGATGCCAATGTAATATGGTTGACATGATAAGGCCATGACACGCGTGATTTTTTTTCCCCAAACCAGTTCAGCGCAAACCACGCCCCCTACGCGAAAACCCCACCCCGCAGCTGTGACACGCGCGATTTCATTGGGCAACGTTGTTACTTGTCGTCTGAGAAAGAAGTTCAGAGTTAACATCAATCAAGTTCGTCTCTAATGGATCTATCGTTGACAAACGGTAAACACTTCTTGCTTAATAATGTTTAATATTAATAATTTAGTCATGGAGATGTGAGTGTATGTTTTTTATAGTGTTCATTTTATTTATTTAATCTTTATTTTATCATTTTCGATTGCCCTCAGGAGAGTACGATTGTAGTCCCAAAGACCAAGCTGCGGGTCTAAAGGTAAAAAATACATTGTTTTTTCATTTAACACACAAATTTAGTACACAGTCTTTCAAAAATTTGGGATCAGCAAGGATTGTAATTTTGTTTATAGAAGGATGCTTCAGTTAATCCAAAATACAGAATTAAATAAATGCTGAAGTTAAAATAATGCGTTTCTTATTTACTGAAAACTAATTTAATTAAACTGTTTCCAACAATGATAATAAATCAGCATTTATAATGATTTCTGAACTATGGTGTGACACTTGAGTGATACATATAGTGTGAGACTAGAGTAATAATGTTGATAATTCAGCTTTCACATCGCAGGAATAAATGATCGATTTACATCAAAATATAAATATTACTATAAATTTCATTAACATTTCACAATAATGCAACTTTCTGTATTTTTATTAAAGTGAATGCAGCCTTGGTGAGCAAAAAAAGCTAATATTGATCTCAAACGTTTGAACAGCATTAAAAGATTTATAAATAATATAAATTATTATTATTACTTTTATTGTAATAAACTTGGCTTACTGTAAAATTTTGGGATATCTCAGTTAAAATGCTTATGGGTGAACAGTCTTTCAGGTAAATTATTTCTACTTTTACAGAACTGGTTGCCTCTTGAGAATAAATACCACTTCTGCACCTATCGCTTAGGCCGTACAAACAGTAAATCACATTTGGGCCACACATGTTTTGAAGCAATTCTAAAAAATGCATTGAGAGATTTGGGAAGTAAAGGAATGGGTAAAAAAAACTTAGTGAGCCTTGAGTAAGTTGGAGAGTGGCAGTGACAAAACCTAAAAAGGGACAATGTAAAATCAGTTCATTCTTTGTTACACTATATATATGTAACTCACTGAAAATAACTTTACATTAAATATTGTAAACATACATAGTTCTACTGTTCAAAACATTTTAGATTCTTCATACAAATTGAGATGTTTATTAATATATTTTGCTTTAGTGTGCCAGTTAGAAATCTCAGTTAACATTGACTTGGTTAATGGTTTGTAATAGTCCAGTGAGATTTTTACCCTTGTGATGGCTCCAGTATTTGTATAAACTTAGGACAGGTCATATGGATAGATGACTGGATAGATAGATTTTCATATGCACAGCCACAGTGATTCTGCAATCATATAGTCTCAGCCTCAGACATCATGCCAAGCAACTTCTGATGCATATGGCACACTTTTCTGGAAATCTTTTTAAAGATCCTCAGTCATCCTCTGATTAGTTTAAATATACAGGATTTCTGTGAGTTGACAGCCCACCTAGAAACAAGTCTGTGCAAATAAAATAGCTGCAATGGTTATATTGATGACAGCACTTATTAATAAACCTATAGCTTTCTGAGACATTTAGTGATTTACTGCCTGCATGCTTGTCTGTGATGATAGGCATTTATTCATTGGATTTAAATGCTAAATAATTAAAAGTATCCAATATTCACTGCATAAAAGCTTTAACTCACGATATTGACAAACTTGCAGGTATGCTTGTATATATGTGTGTGTGTGTGTGTGTGTGTGCGTGAGCGTGTGTGTGTGTATATATATATATTTTTTCTAATGGCAGTGTAAATCTTCAAATATTCTGTCATTTTGGTCATAAAGATAAGAGAATGACCATTCAAAGCAGCAACTGTTTTTTTTATTTTTTTATTTGTGGATACTCACAAAAACAACAAAACCTTGCTTTTATAGAACAAAGTAAACTTTCACTCACTTATCTCATCTGAGGTGATCTTTAGGTAAAAATGCTTCATCAAAATAATGAATGAATCTGAAAACAAATGCTACATACATGTCCTACAGATTTCCTGTATGTTTTGTTGACAGATCATTTAGAATATTGCTGCATCATTGTTGTAAACGTTTGAAATTTTTAAATGTAAAATAAAAATATCTAACATTTCTGCACACTTAAACATTTAAAAATTTATATTTTTTCTGTAGGCTCATTACAGGTGCCAGCACAATGTTCATGTTCGATCAGGCATGGCTAGTCAACAACGGCTGTCCAAAAACATGCTGTGGGGCAAAAATGGTTTGCACTTTGGTAAAGACTGTAGACAAAAGGGGAGGATCAAGTAGGTGAGTTAGAAATGTCAAAATTGTACTAATAATTTTTTTTTAAGTTTCTTTGTGTAATTTATTTTCATTTTTCAGGAACAATGAACCCCATATTCCCACTTACTCAACCTCTGTGCGCTTGTAAAATGTGCATTGAGGCACAAGGTTGTAGGGGTCACTGTAGTTGCCACCACCGCAAGAGTTAACTCTGTTGAGATGCCACCATGTCAGAGCCTGAGCTGCCAGTTGCCACCAGAGCTATTGATGCCAGATTCACAAGAGTTATTGTCAACAGAACCGCTTACAAAGCCTCAACCACATTCAGACCCATTCCAGCAAAACTGCCAGAGCCCGTGGTGCTAGAGCTGGCAGATCTGCTGCTGCCATAGCCAACGGTTCCAGAGCCACCGATGCCACCACCTGAGCTCCAAGATTGGCCACCTCTGCTAGAACCAACTAACCTATAAGAGCCACTCTACCTATTTCTAAAGTGAGGACAATTTATGCTTTATAAATCTCTAATAAATGACAATTCAAGGCTCAGTGTCAAATGAACAGTACACCTTTGTAATCCTATCTAAAAATAAAATTACTGTAAAGTTTAAACATTGCCGAATAACAGGAGTGTCAAAATATGACATAAAATTGGATAAAAAAACAACAACAATATAATATTTAACAATATATTATGATACAAAATTATAATGTTATTTAGCGAAGTTTAAACTGTACGGTAACTTTATTTTAGTTAAGATTGCAAAAATGTATTTTTCATTTGATGCAGATTCATTTATTTATCTTCAAATGATAAGAAATAAATCAAGTCGTGTTTTTTTCCCCTGTTTAGAAGATAACTGAGCCTTTAATTGTTATTTATAAGGGATTTATAAAGCAAAAATAGTCCTCACTTTAGATTAGGTCACAAAACTGGATGAAGTTAAAATACTAAAGCATTTATTAACATACAAATTAATTATTAGTATATGCCTGAATAATAAGATATATAAATGTTAATTTGAATGGTTTATTATTTACTTATGCGTTCTAAATGATCTTTAAAAGCCACAAAGTACTCTCAAATAATTGGTTTGTAAATGATACAATACTTAAGTATTGAAAAAATGATTATTAACAAAATATGAAAATACAATCATTAAGCACATTATAGATGTGCTTATAAATCAAGAATAGAGCATTTGTATCTGTAGTTACAAACTGCTTACTAAATTCTGTTAATGTAGAGTTAATGCTTAACAAATGATAAATTAAATTTGCTAATGCTTAATAAATTATTAGCGTGTAGTTATTATAAAGTGTTACCAAAATGTGTATTGTTTATTTATTTTTTTATCGGAGGGCTCTAACAATGAATATTATTGCTGTCCAACTGATTATTCTCATTTTCTGGTCATTAAAGGTAAAACAATAGGTACTGTGAGAGGAATCATATTATGATCAATTTTAACTTGTTTTCAGCATTAAATGAAAGCCTTATTTGAAAGGCCTGCAGAACATATGTTGTTCTCATTTGCAGTTATTAAACATTCAAACTCTGTATAGAAACAGGTATAGTTCAATGTACTTGTGCTTCAGTTGATTTTCATCTGATATGCAGATTATGTGCAGTGTTGGGTAAGTTACTCTGAAAACGTAATTCATTATTGATTATTACTAATTATAGTTTAAAAATAAATACAATTGTATTTTAAATAACTTTTTAATTCAATTTAATTAAAAACTTAATTACTCAGTAAATTATTACTCAATATTATAAAAGAAATATCCACAAATACCAAAGCATAGACAATAGAAATAAAAAATGTAATTCTTTAAATTTGAGTCTAACAGGACCTTTTAGTTTCATTAACCATTATATATTTCAAATATTTTCAAATTTGATACCATATTTCATACAGACCAATAAGCATGTGTAATTGTTGGACAAATGTAACATTCTTTAATTAAAAAAATAAGTTATTTTGCAAAATATCTGAATTTTGACAACAAATTATACACATTCCTATCCCACTTCTCTGAATTAACACAAGATATTGTCAGAATAAATCTTTCAATTTAACTATTTTATACTAGACAGCGAAAGATAAAGAGGTTATGTTTGCATGCAGGGGCTGTGTTAAATTTATAATAATTAAAAAATTTTTTTAAATAAATGTTATGTTTGTGTGTTTTTTGCTGGTTTTTGTACTTGAGTAAAGTTTTCTCATTGTTAAGATGCTGTTGTGTGTGTGTTTACTTCATGTATTTTTGGCACTATTTTTATTCATTAAACACAGCTTTTTTACATAAGCTGTAGATTGTTTGTACTACGTTTTATTTCATACACGCACTTTGTAAACCTTTCGTATTTTAGGTCTTTTATTAAAAAATAGTTTGTGTTCGTTGCCATTGTGATGAAGCTGGAGCTGCTGGACCAATGAAATCGAGCCACGGACGTGAGTCACAGTAGCGGGGTGGGGTTTTCGCGTAGGGGGCGTGGTTTGCGCTGAACTGGTTTGGGGAAAAAAATCACGCCCATGACACTATTGCCACAATAACGACACCTTGTGGTTATTTTGATACAACAGCTCATTTTACTTCCCTTGTGGTGCATTTTATTTGCACTCAGCATTCGTTTCAGAATGTCTACAATCTATGGTAAGAAGCTAAAAAAAATAACACTGGAAAAAATAGACTTTTTGGTCTGAAAAAAACAAACAAACAAAAATTCACTCTGTTTTATTTGTTTGTCGTTTTAGTTAAAATCATTATGACTATGTTTCACTTGTATACTGTCGATTTAAGTAGGTGCTGTAAGAAAAGATGGATTATGAGTCTGTCGTTACTGGACTCGTGAATGTGAGATTAACCTGCTACTGCTTCTCCAATAAGGTAGGAAATTAACAGAGGTGGGTAGTAACGAGTTACATTTACTTAGTTACATTTACTTGAGTAAAATTATTGGGTAATGTGTACTTTTTGAGTACATTAAAATGTGTACTTTTACTCTTACACAAGTAAATTATTAGAGAAAAATCCTTCCTCTTACTTCGCTACATTTTACGGTGCTCCTCCGTTACTGTTAAATGATAATAAAAATGATCAGTCTGTTTCAGCACTTTTTTACTCTAACTCGAGTAACTTTTAAGATTGTTACTTTTACTTTTACTTGAGTAAAAATTTCCGCAAGTACTTGTACTCTTACTTGGATACTCTACCCACCTCTGGAAATTAAACATGACAGGAATGTGGATGATGTGTGGATAATTGACACGGCTCACCATAACTAAGAAATGATCTGTTAACGAGGAGGTAGTATGTCCCAAAGCTTGCATTCTCTTCTGTAACACACTCAAAAGTATTTATTTTTCCTTCGCAAAATGTACATACTTTTAGGGCGTAGTATGTGAAGTGTTTAATTGGGGTAGGTGCAAAACTGTGCAGAGCTAAGGCCCTCTAGAAATTGAGTTTGGGACCTAAGATTTACATGGAGGGCTATTTTTAAGCTGTTCTGCAGCCAGCCACCAGAGGGCCATGAAAACTTGTTTTTAGGATGTGCACACAAGGGTAAGCAAGAGTACACCATGACCCCATTGTGCTAAACCATTTTAGATCAGTTGAACTAAAGGAAGGTAACGAATTGTACAAAGTAATATGTTATGAGCTATTTATACTGAAAGACTTGGCCTTCTCTTGGATCTTTTTTAGAGGAGCCATGATATCAAGTCATAATCAAAATATCATGAAAAGTTAATTTATAGCATTTATTTAACCCTTTGATGCACTACATGGGTCTAAAGTGACCCGTCTAAGTTTTTTCTCTATTTTATAGCTTGCGCATCAAAGGGTTAACACCAGTCTGTTTCAATAAGATTTTTCCAATTGGTACTGTGATGCATTTATTCTGGGACTGGGACATGGTACAAGGCAGACTGGATAGAGATCCATTAAATGGTTCAGAAGATTGTTGAGAAATCTTTTGCCCTATCCCCAAGTATTTATCATTAAATGTAAAGCTGAATTACACCTCAGTCATGGCCTAGGATCTGTTACATTTTGTATAATTTTGCAAATATGGCTTTTTGCAAGATAATATACTTTAGTTTCTTCCAAAAATATGTGGTTGAATCAGATTTCTATCTTCTTATACCCTTAGGGAAAAAAATACTTTTTAGTTTACGTCAGAGATGAGAGGTCTGACTACTTTTGTCATATCTCCTCTTTGGGACTTTTGGGATTGAAGACTTAATGACTATTACTTTTGCTAGTCACCCTTTACTGAATGTTTGAAATGCTATGGTTATCATGGTTGATAATGATTGGTTGTATGATTGTATATGATGACATGATAAATATAAATTACTAATTTTCAGTTATTAGCCAAAATAATTAGAATTTCTTTATGCTGTTACTGAACTCTGTAGCTCAATGTTGCAGTCATTAACACTTGTCGCCACCTACTGGCAGTGTTAGCTCATATTCATTGCATTATTTTATCAGTGATCACAGCGCTACAACCCTGATAATATGTTGATTCAATGATCCATTTGTTAAGTCAAACACTTGCTTCATTCTTGAAAAAATCATGCATCTCAGTGAACGAAATGACTGGCTCAATGACTCACTTATTAAGAAATGTTTAAGTCATCTGCTGCCACCTACTGGCAGTTTATTTGATCTTTTAAAGGATCACATTTTTTAAAATATTTAATGATTCTTTACATTTTACATTTAATTTAGAAAAACCTGATTGTAAAAAGTATAGTTCAATATTCTTCATAATACTGACCAAATCCCAATTTTAAAACATTACAAGACAGAAATACAGTATATAAATTGCCATTTTCAAATTGAAAATGTGATGTGTTCTACTGTTATCAGCAAGTATTGGTTCCGTTAGAATATACAAAAGCATTTTAAAAAATTAGGCAACATTTTATGCAAGCGCCACTGTCCATTTGCCTTGTATTTTAGTAGGAATAATGCATTAAAATAACAAAGCATTAAGCTTTTTGTTATGCCATTGGTTTATAAACAAGAACCAATATAATGGTTCAGTTTTGATTTTAAATTCAATAAAAAAGAAATCCAGTTGTATTTTCATTTACCTTTTTCCTATGTAATTCACATTGTGGACTTGGACTCAACAAAGGTAAACTCGAAAGTAAAATAAATAATCATAAACTGTAGCCATTTTGCTTCTGTTTTATTGTACTGCAGTTTTACAGCATTAATGAGACAGACCTCATAGATACAAGATTAATGCAAGCACAAATGAAAATGTTATATATCAAAGTACATATTATTATGTAAAAGATTTTTTAAAATGTATGTACAGCAAAGAAAGATACCGAAAAAATAGAACATCATACAGTAAATATCAAGAAAGCATTACTAAACAATACATAAAAAACTCCAAAGCATAATGAATAATATAAAAAAGTAAAAAATATATATAAAAAAGTAAATATTAAAAATATATAAACTTCAGCTTCCCACAATTTTTCAAAATCATTATCCAGTTGAGTAATTGAAAGTGATCTATTTTAACATAATATAACTTTGATCTCTGTCCAAAATCGCAGGCAATCAATATGCTTGAGAAAGCTAAACAGTTGAAAAACTATGGTAGCTGCCACATGTGAAGAGCTTAAACATCTAAATTCATGTTTTAAAACATTCTGCGTATTAATCAGCACAGTCTCGACATTAAAAACTGGCTCAAACCAAGTATAACTATGTTTATTAAAACTAAAGTAACATTAACCTCCAAAACAGAAGATGACGATGTTGTATGATTTTTTTTAGCCATTGATTTTATTCCTCTGTTGTCAGAGGACAGCTGTGTTTGGAGTCTTAGAGTGAAATAGATAGATCGT